GGGCGGCGGTCGGCGGGGTTTGGAGGCGCACGGCGAGGGAGCAGGCTGATAGCTAGGGGGGGCGGAGAACGGTGGTGAGGGTTGGGGCGAGGCCGGAGGGGGCACTGGGCATGCGTGCGATGCTACGCGATTCAAGGAGGGCCGAGGCAGCGCACAGCGCCTGTGGCCGCCATCGGCCCGCTCGCGACCGCCTGCCTGCCCGCCAGGGCACAGCACGATCGCACACCAAGCCGCGCCACTGAGCGTGCTAGCAGGTGGGATGCACCCACCTCCGTTCATGAGGGACATGAGGGTGGCGAAGAGGGTCGCCTCCACCCCCTCGGGGCACAGGCGTGCTGCCAGCACCAGCACAGGCATGAAGGAGACCTGAACAGGGCGCGAGCGCAGGCGGGTGCGAGAGATAAGGTCGGCCTAGAGAAGCTCTAGAAACGGCGAGGGGCTCAGGGCTGCGGTCGTTTATCCTCGAAGCGAGGGAAATGGGTCACATGACAGCGCCACGCAATGCGGCTCTCTCTGGCCTCCGGGCCTTGCACAGAGCACCACTGCAGCCCCGCAGCCCCGGTTGGAGGCCGCACAAACGCCGGTCAAATGCTGGCAAAACATCGGTCAATTCGCCAATCAAATGCCGGTCAAACGCCGGTCAACCTACGGTCAACCGCACCTGGCCCAGCACCGTGAGGATGACGCTGTCCCCCAGCACAAACAGCTGGTCGCTGAGGCCCAGCGCCCTGTTGGCGCCGCTGACGAGCAGCAGCTGGGTGGAGCCCAGGGCCGTGCCGATGATCATGGCCCAGAAGAACATGCGCTTCAGGGGCACCTTTTGGGGGGTGGGGGAGCGGGCCGGGGCAGCAGGCAAGGGTTTTTTCAACTGGGGGCATGTTGCAGACGCAAAGTCGCAGGGGGGGGTGGTCGTGGGGGTTGGCGGTGTGGACGAGTGCGGCCTGCGTGGGGCTGGCTGCTGTCCAAGGGGTTGGGTGTTGGGACGAGAGCGATGGACGTGGGCGTGCCTTGCAGGCTGGGAATTCAAGGTTTGACGCGCGTCCAGCACGCAGCTGCAGACAGGGCGATGCGCCCCTGCAGCGCCCTGGAAAACCAACGAAAACCTGCGTGCCGCAGCCGCCTCGCCGCATCGACAAGGAATGCATACGCCGGGTCACCCCTCACCTTTTTGAACCACGTATTGTACAGCCCCACGCCGACCAGGCTGGCGATGCTGCCAGCCAGGCGCACCCGGCCCAGGAATTCGGGCTCGAAGTGCAGTTGGTTGGTGTAGAAATAAAACATGGCGGAGTCCGAGGTGGGGGTGGCCTGGGAGGTGGGTAAAGTGCGTGCATGTAGGTGTGTACAAGGTTGTGAGTGTGTGTATGTGTGTGTGTGGGGGGGGGGGCGCACGTGCATGTATGCACGTGTGTGCGTGCAGGGGAAGCGGGCAGAGGGGACGGGTGGTACCCATGGCCCCTCCAAGCCTTGGGAGGTCCACCCGCAATGAGGAGGCGCACATCGGGGCCAATCTAACCCCGCTGATGTGCGGGGCATTTTCGATGACATCCCCCCGACACATGCACCCCTGCACATGCACACCCACACACACACACACACCTGCATACACACACGTACGCACACGCACCGTCCACAGCAGGCATCAAGGAGGCCGGGCGGTCACGCTGTAACCAATCAGGACAAGCACAAAAATTGCAAGCTCCCAAGTTGGGGGAGAACCTGACCTGCCAGAGGAACACGAATATGGTGGGCAGCAGGATGTCCTTCCTGCTCACAGCCCCCCACAGCGCCCGCCCCTGCGACACCATCCGCGCCGCCAGCGCCGCGCCCGCGCCCGGCTCCACGCACCCCACGCCGCCGCCGCCGCCGCCGCTGCTGCCGCCGCCGCCGGGCCAGTCGCTGTCTTTCCGTGCCAGCGACAGCGGCGCGACGCGTTGCTCCTCGATCAGCAGCGCAGACACTGAAACGAACAGCGGGAAGATCGCGGTGACGGCGAAGACGGGGTGCACGCCCCATGACTGAACGAGGGAACCCGAAAAATAGGCGGACGCGATGCCGCCCGTGGACTGGAAGGCCCAGCAGAGGGACTGCAGGCTGCCAGTGGTGCCCTGCGAGGGGTCGCCATTCGGGACGCGCGGGCGCGGGGCGTTCGCGAGAGGTGCGGTGGGGCACGGGCCGTCTGGTCGTGGCTGTGCGGCAGGTGCTGCTGCCTCGCTGCAGAGTACCTCCTGGCTGGTCAGGAACATCGGTGGCGGGAGAGAACCCGTGCAGGCAGGCCAGCAGGGCCAGCTCCATTCACCTTGCCTGTGTTGCCCGCTGCGCTGCTGGAACTTCCAGGCAGCAATGTCACACCGTACTCTGCACGCGGCCCGGACCAACCCTGCAAGACCCAAAATGCGCTCAAGCAGCAGGCGGTCCCCTCGAACGGACGCCGCGCCCTGCCAATGTGACAGCAGGTGAGCCGCCGTCCCCGCCCGGCGCCTCGGCCCCAACCCTCAACCCTCAACCCTGAACCCTGAGCCCGATAAACCGCACCTCGGCGCCGCCGCGTGCGCGCTCCACCACGATGGAGTCGACCACCACATCGCTGGCGGCGGTGGACAGTGACCCCAGCAGCATCGCCGCCACGGCGCCCGCGGGGCTGTTGACGACGGTCGCGAGGGCCACCCACGAGGCCGCGCCTGCGGGGGCGGCGAGAGCCGCGGCGCGCATGCGGGTCCGGGTGGGCGTGCCGGCGGGTGCGGAGGCGCCGGCCGCAGCGGCCGTGCAGCCGCGGCCCCCTACCTCCCTCATCGCCCCCCAAAGTTGAGGGCCCGCATCCGTTTTGCACACACCCTTGCACCGTGACAAAGGCAAAGGGTGTGCGCAGGGCGCCCAAACAGGCTCACACGACTGCGACCTGGCTGCCGGCTGCAGCAATCAGCTGACCCTTTTCCGACAACCCAGCGACTCGCGGCCCCCAAGCACGGTATGCCCCTGGCCCCTGGCCCCTAAACCCTAAACAAGCACGCAAGCCCCTGGCCCCAAGCCCGCGAAGGCCACCCACCCAGGAAGCCGCATACAGCCAGGTAGGAGCGCCGCCGGTAGCCGAACAGCGGTATGCTGTCTGAGATGAAGCCGTAGAGGGGCTTGACCACCCAGGGCATCATGGCGATGCCCTGCAGGACGGCAACCTGGGGGGAGGGAGGGGGACGTGCGCGCGCGTGTGTGTGTGAGAGAGAGAGAGAGAGAGTGTGTGTGTGTGTGTGTGTGAGTGTGTGTGAGTGTGTGTGTGTGAGTGCGCGCGTGTGTGGTGGGGCTGCTGCTGGGGAACCAGAGCCGGCCAGGCGCGAGCGGGCTCGGAGACGGGTCGGCTTCAGTCCCCGCGCTATTCCCGCCCGCCTGCCCGCGGCTCGTCACGCCCGGACGTGGCAATTGCGGCTCCCCGGCAGATCGTGTCAGGTCACACCAAATCACCTGCGCGGGGTCGACTTTGAGGTCATCTTTGAAGTAGAATGACAGCGCCAGGCGGCTCAGGCCGAGGATGCCCTGAACAAAGTAGACTGGGGGGGGGAGGCAGGAGGATGCATTCGATATGCTGTGGTGTAGGACCGTGCTATGTGGTCGGATGAGTTGATGAGATGTGCCGTTAAGTGGAAGGAGGAAAGTCCGCTGGGGTGGGGTGGGGTTGGGTGGTCCGCCGGGATTGCTGTGCGAATGGTGGTGAAGTGCACCGGGAGCGTGCAGGAGCACGGTCTGCCGGGGCGGCCGGCGACCTGCAGCGGCCCTGCCTGCGCGGCTCGCCAGCCGCAGCGAAAAAAAAAACAAGGGACCCCCGCGACAGCAGCAAGCCATCACGCCGTTGGGCTCGGGCCCCATGGCTGAGCCGTGGGGCTGCTGCTCGCCCTCAGAGACGAGGCCGGTCCACGCCCTGTCACCGAGGGGGCCGCATGCTCACCCAGTGCAATCGCGCAGAGCTCAGGCGTGACGTCCAGACCCATGACCTGCCATTTTCCCGCCCCGCCCGCCGCCGTGCCGCCCCTGCCCGCCGCGGGGCCACCGTGCTTGTGAGGCGGCTTGGCGGCAGCGTCGTCCTCAGCGCCGCCGTCCCAGGGCCCGGCGCCGCCCGCATCCGCCGCGATCGTGACGTGCCGCGGCGACGCGTCCGGGCCGCCGCCGCGCCTCATGGCGCCGTGGCCGCGGCCGGGCGCCGTCGCCGCTGCTACTGCCGCCACCCCCGCCGCCGGCTGCTGTTCTGCCCTCAGCTGCTGCGTGTCGCGCTCGTGGTCGCTGCGGGTGGCTGTGTCGGCCCGTTGGTGGGTATGGCGTGGCTCGGATCGGGAGCCGTTGCGCGCTAAGGCCTCGCCGCGGACGAGGAGAGCGGCCTCGTCAGTTTCGTGGTGGCTGCCCTGGTGCTCCGGGTCGATCAGCGCCGCCCGGCGCGTCAGGCCGCGCGCCGCTATGCCGCATGGGAGAGCGGCAGCGTGCCGGCGCGCGGTGGCGACATGCACGCGTCGCGGGTGCGCTGATGGAGCCGCTGCAGGCCTTGTTCGCACGAGCATTCACGATTAGTTGGTGAGGGGGACGCCCAACCCCAGTGAAAGCGAGTAGATCGGTGGAGGTTGCTCACGGAAAGTCTTGTGATTACCGCTGTGCAAACATACAGAACTGACAGAAATCTGCATAATTGATCACCAACCCATCGAGGCTGCGTCGTGTCACCTACACACTCATACGCACAGCCACTCGTCGTCGCAGCCAAGGATCGAATGGGCCCCGGAATCCAAGCTCAACAGCGGCCTATTGCCTCCCGGACAAATCCTGCATCGGCTGCGCGGCAGGGGCAGCGGCGACACGCATCGCAAACCAGTGTGCTGCAGTGGGCCGGCAACGGCTGCATTCAGCGCTGCCGGCGCACCGCTGCAGTGGACTGTCGCAGCGAAGCTTCAGCGGATGCAGCCGCCTCGTCGGCGCACGGGGCGCCGCTCTGCAGCAGGCGCAGCGTGATCGCGGTGCCGCCGCTGCTGGTCGGCGCAGCTGCGGCCATCGGGCCGCAGTTGCTGCTGCCGCAGCCCGCGGTCGCTAGCAAGCTAGGCGGGGCGGTCGACAGCGCCTGGGAGGTGAGCGGCGCAGCCCGCACCCCACCGCGCATGCACTGGTTGCATGCTGCGCACCCGCATGCAGCGGGTGGCGCGGTCAAACCACAAGCAGCCTCCGGTCAACGAGTGTGCATCCCTGTGCGTCCCATCCTCGTCGCCCTCGGCCTGCAGGCACTGGGGGGCGGCCCAGCCGACCTGTACTTTCCAGAGCAGTTCCTGGGCACATGGGATGTGGTGAGTGGGCCCGTTCTGCGGTTGCGCCACGCCTGTGTCGGGACGCAACAGCAGGCTCAGGCTGCAGTGAGGCGTGCTGGTAATGGCGGTGCCGCCACTGCCCGCCCGCCGCGTGGCGTTCACGACGCAGCCATGGCGGCCAGCGCTCTTGCGCCCGTGGCAGCGCGGCAGCGGCGGCCCTGGCCGACTGGGACCCCGGAGAGGCTGACTCAGCGCCAACCGACTTGCTTTTCCCCTGCCAGGTCAGCACGCTCGTCAAGGTCGAGACGCCGCTCGGGGAGGACAAGCTGCCAAACCCTGCGTCGGTGCGGCGCGCCAAGGAGGCCGACCTGGGCCAGCCGAATGGCTACCAGGTGAGGCACCCCCCACCTACTTTGCTTGCTGTGTATCGGAGACAGGCACCGCGCGCCCCTGCACAAATCCCGCCGCCAACCACCACGTCAGCAAGGTATGGTTTAAGCTTAGCTCCATCCTGTTGAGCAGCCGGCCCATCTAACACAAGATGCCCAACTCCCGCAACCACCTGTCCCTTGCGCCCCCTGCGCCCACTGCCAGGTGGCGTTTGTGCGCAACAAGGGCGGCAAGGTCATCTTTGACCGCCGCTTCAACGTGTCGGCTCTGATGTCACAGTACTACCCATCCATCGATTTCGGGGGCCGCATAACCTGGGACCCCAACGACCCCAACATTCTGCAGGTTTGACCGGCCTTTGACCTGCCTTTGACCGGCCTTTGATTGGCCGTTGACCGGCCGTTGACCAGAGTGTGTCGGGCAGGTGTGTCAGAAATAGCCTCAACAACCCTGGTGTCTGCCGCAGGATTTGGAACCTGCCTCGCTTGCCGGACAAAGTGGTCATTTGCCTCTGGGAGGAGCGAGCGCGGCGCCCTTGCTCAGTCCCCAGGGAAGCCGTCCACTCCCTCTCACATGCTGCGGCGTGGCGGCCGCCCCGAACCCGTGTCGTCCGCGCAGCTGCGCATGCCGAAGGGCGGGCTGGACGTGCGGACGCGCGTGACGCGGCGCAGCGAGGTGGAAATGGCGGAGCAGCGGCGCATCGAGACGTCTGAATACATAGAGCAGGCGGGCCGGGCCGCGGGGTGTTTTGTTTTAGGGTGGCGCCCGTATCAGGGTTTCGGGGTCGAGGCCGCGTCGGCCCTGACACGCGTCACGCCGGGTGGCCTGAGCGCCTGCAAAAGCACACGGGCAGGCGCATCGGGTTGACCTGCTTTGGTTGGTACTGAAGCAGGGGGCACTCTCGTCATCGAGGCGCGCAGGCGGCCCGCCGCAGTCGGGCCTTGGCCTCAAGCTGAACGCTGCATCTGAAAGCACGCCTCAAGCTGCCTGCCTCATGCCCGGCGGCGTCTTGCGCCATGCAGGTGTTTGATCTCGACGGCAACACCCGCGTCAAGGCCAGCCAGTGCTTCACCAAATACCTGTGAGTCACCCCTTAAACGGCTGAGATTGCTCAAACTGCTCAGTTCGCTCGAATCGTTTGTGGGGCTGTGGCTCTGACCTTCACATCATGACATGTGTCAATGACCCTGGTGTCTCTTCAAGTGACTTTGGGAGGCAGTGCAGTGAGAACTCCACACGCCATGCAGCTGCAGCGGTCAAAGCACAGCTGGTGACACCCGGCAGGCTTTGCAATCCCTTTCCTTCTTCCCAGCCTGGCCTTCCTTGTCGTTCCCAGTGGTTGGCAACCCCTCTCCCCTGTGCCCCTCGCATGCCCGCGAACCCCACCCCCTACATTTTTCCTACCCCTCATTAGTGCCCACCCCCCTCCCCTCCCAACCTGCAGGTACCGAGATGAGGATGAGGCGCGGCGGGGCGGCGGCGCCCCGCCATTGTGGCGACACAGGCGAGGCCCCTGTGC